TTGTTGCCATGCAGTGATAAACACAGTGGTTTTACCAAGAAGATGATTAACAAGCTGATGTTCTTCTACAGGTTTTCTGTAAAGTGAAACAAGGTTTTCACAGGTCTTCCACTTTGTTTGCTTTGATGAATCTATGCAGTGATTAAAAAACCTTCATATACCTTTATATACCTTTAAGTACATATATACATATATATATATGAGAGTCATTATCCACCTTGAGAATGAAACCACTAGGTTTTCTCCTGAAAGCAATGAAGAGAAGAAAGAAGTGCATGAACCATCCACACAGTACATAAAACATCTTTCTGCAGAAGTTACTATAGTGGGAAAAATTTACATGTGTCAGCACTACTCACTGTGAGTAAGGGTTGCAGAACCAGGATGGAAATGGAATTGCACCTGGCTTCTTATGGCGACAGCTTCTAACAAGTCTCTGGTATTAACAAATGGGGTGTAACTCACAATTTCATGAAGGGACAAGAAGGCTTTTTAGTCTATCTCATCTAGTTATATCACAACAGTGGGGTCTAGCTGGCAAATTCTCAGGAGAACAAGGATAGTAATCTGGGCTGAAAATCAGTAATTAAGTTTGGTTTAGATACAGGATTGGTAATAGCTTTAAAGGGTTTACTGAAGAAGAACTCGCAGCTGTTTTCTGAGTGTCTGTTCATGACAAAAAAAAAAAAAAAATATTAACAAAAAGGAAGAGCTGGAGAGAGAGGCAGAGCACCAGAAGTCATAGGAAAGGAAGGGAGAAATGACTTGTGTTAATGTTTTCCATGCTTTATAAAATTCAGTGCAAGCTTAAGGGCATTCCATGGCTTTGAGTTGAGTCAGCCAAGTCTCATGGTCTGGATGAGATTAATGATCATGACAATGCAGGCATGTTTAGTCCTTTTTCCTTTTTTAAGAGCTGTTATTAAACAATGTTGTCTTTCAGCAGCAGCAAATCATGTGGGTGTCATGGACAAATCATGGCCTGTCAGCCCTCAAAGGCTGCCAACCTATAAGAGGGGGCAGTAGGGAAGGTTTGGGTGCCTGTTATCATTCTGCTCTGAGTCCACTCTGAATCAGCTCCTTTGAAACTTCATATGCAGTGAGGGGATCAGTAATAGTCTGGCACACGATGTGGAGCCATAATGTAAGAACTCTGGAGTTTGATTTCCAGGTTCCCTGGATGACTGCATAGCTCTGGTCAGTGTCCTCTGCATCTGTAGTTTGCCATATTTAAAATGTTGAAATTACTGCCTTCACAGAGGAGATGCTGGATTTATACAATGTGTTGAGACTATAAAACATTATGTGAGTTGTAGGCATCACTGTTATCCTTTTTTCACACTCACCGCTTCAAAAACATGTCTGCGCTGCAATAGTGTTGCAGACACTTTTAATAGCAGGTTTAGAAGATATAGTCAAAATAAGAACAAAGCTCTTCAGCTCAACATTATTTTAGGGCAAAGTGCCAGCTAAGAGAATGGCCTCAAAACCAGTTTTGCAAATGAGATTGCCACATGTGTCCCTGGTGTTTCCTGGCCTGCCATATGATCTCACGCATTGCATGGATACGGCTTCCTGGGAGCCTCAGTCCTTCTGCAGTGCAGATGTTCAGAACACGTGCACTGCGCCTGGTGCTTACCAGAAGTGTCCTGGTGTGCAGGATGTACAGTGTAGGGCCAAGCTCAGCATTTCCATGGAAAACATGCGTGTGCAGAGCTGTACCCTACAAGTAGTTCTATTAAGGTTATTTGTGTAAATAAGCCTATTTATCCTCAGCAGTTGGAGGTTAGGGAACTGACTGCCTTAAAAAGTGATTCCAATAGTGACTGGATCTCTGGGTGGTAACAGCACCTATGTTATTATGTTTAAAAGCCATGAGTAGACTGAAGTTTGGTGACAACTGAATCAAATTCCCTTTATACAGAAGTGAACTTCACTTAATGTTTCAGCGAATCTATTATAAGCTGCAGGATTCAAATGTAATCCAAAACAAGGGGATGTGGAAATCTGCCTTCATAGCAGAAGTTCTTTAGATATGAAACTGAAGTTGTTGGAAGAAACGTTGATGTTTCAAAAAAACCTAGTTCCAAAATTACTGAATTTGTTACTTCTAACTAATACATCTTTGTGATATGACCTTAAAATATAATGTAATCTAGAGCTTCACAGAGTATGCTTATTTATTAGGAAACATCGACCTGTCTTGTTCTACAGGGGAGAGAAAAGCAAAAAGGGAAAAGTAAAGAGAAGACCCATCTGAGTTATTTATGCTTAATATAGCTGCTCATTAGACAACTTCCCATATAATGTCAGGTTTCAAATCAGGAATATTTGGAGTAAAAGTCACTCAGGTGGCAGCAATGAGAGCGGCTGCATCTCATAGTTGAAGCCATGGGCCACAACCATCTGCACGGAGTAGCTCTTAGTTGTGCTGTCATGAGAAAATATCTGTTGGGATCTACAACACAAATGCCTGTTGAGTACATTTGTTGTGAGTTACAGGCATGTTGTGTTGATGGCTTTTGAGCATGTTGTGCTGAGGCTTCTGTTGCTGAGGCTGTCATTTTATGTTAATCTACTTGCTTCTCCTTAGACTGGGAAACTCAGACTGGTTGCGAAATATTAAGTCTTCCAGAGAAAAAAAGTACATTTGTTAGTGTTCCTTCCTTACCAGCTCTTCATTCTTGCCTTAAAAATCTCTCGTGACATGGCTGTCATCAGAGTAAGTTTAATAAAACTATTTTTCTCTGGAAGAAAACATGTGCCAAAAAAGACGTTTTGAGAAAACACGTTTGACTTGCAGAAATTTTGCAAAACTAAAATTTGTGCTGCCTTGCTATTTTTGGATTACAAGTCATTAGGACTATTAATAAATGTTATCAATAAGATGTTATGTAACCTGTATCAATTTTGTACACGTGAAGTGCCTTTCTCAATGTATATAATTCTGTGGTAATGGAGTGGGAGAGAGATTTCTGACATCCTTTTTGTGGAAATGCAGTCCAAGTAATGATAAGGATTAATTCTATTACCTACAGTAAAAACGTTCAAGATTGGATGCACAGCTATTGTGCTCCTTTGGATGAGTTGCCACCAATACTACTGGATGCTACTTATCTTGTGCATGGTCGTTGTCTTCCGACAAGCTGCACAGTCTGGATTTAATCTGCTGTTTTATCTCCTTGATTGTTTCCTGTGATTGTTTCTCGTTACCTGTGGATAGGAGCATTCCTTGCAGTGAATATGCAGGAGCAGTGAGTAGATACACTGTAGATACAATAACCTCAGTTTGCCGGTGAACAAAAGTAAGGGGAGAATGTGTACATCTTGATTACTATCATTAGCTTTCACATCTTAGCTTTAGACAAAGGTAGACCATCAAGCAAAAATGGTGTTAGCAAGGTTGCTGGCTATTCACATAGAATGTGTCAATGAAAAAGAGCATGAAGTGCATTTGAGATATTTTGGGAAAGCAGCTGTTGTATGGCATCTTCTATTTCAAATAGATGGGGCGGACACCCCCTTTTTTCCTTTTCTTGCACGTGGAATTCCCATTGAGATTATAAGTGATTCATGTTCCTCTCTTTGCTAGGAATATCAGGCCACTCCTATTAAGCATGCTCTGCAGTTGTCATTCTAGTCTGGAGTTGCTACCACACTTTTCTCTTGAGGGAAAGGTGGGGCAGGAACAAAGTTATTTCACGTTGCTTTGAAGCATCCAGATCTTTCCATGTTTTCTATATCGAAGTTATTATTTTTAACTCTTTCTTTACAGTTTTTGCTAAAATAATAAAAAAAAAAAAGGACAACAAACAGATGTTCATATTTCCTCTCATTTTACTCAGGCACAGACTTAGCTTTGATTATACAGTCTTTTCACTCTTCAGCTGTTGAACTGTGTAGGCAGCATCTTTCCAACAGAGAGGAGCGGATGGTAATCTCCTCAGAGCCTCCAACCCTTTTGTCTTTCATTTAGTGTCTGTAGTGACATGAATGAGACATTCCCCTCCTGTAGGCTTTGCATGTACTGCTTATTCAGGGTGAAGGCCGGGAAATGAATTGCACAATAGAGCTATGGCACCCATGATATTATTTTAAACTTATTCATTACTTTATTCTCATACTGCTTGTCTTCTAAAGATAATTCCATGTGCAAACATACACAGTATTATTTGAAACCCACCTAACACACTTTTTACTACTAAAAAGACTTACTGCAGTATATATTGAAATTCTAACATGGGTTGACAATAGCATGTTTGTATTCAAGAGTGAGTTCAGAGTGCAGCAAGCAGAAGTCTTTCAAAATGAAGGGAAATGCTGTCAAAACTGAGGAACACGGAGCGAGAGGTTGGTTCATGTGTCCTCACACATTATGTATGGCCAAGGTTTCTCTTATTTGCTGGTAGAATAAGAAGAGCCTAAAGCTTGCCTTTCTGGGAGTATTTAACAGTGTTATGTTGTTCTAGTTCAGAATGTCTGTGCAGTTCTCTTTGGTTTCATATCAGGTAGATTCCCAGTGCAGTCTCTTGACTTTAATAGGGTCACAATGAGATAAAGAAGAAACCTTATGATCATAAAGGTTTTGATTATACTATAATTTCATCTTTAAACGATTCTGCTTTGAATAAATATTTTCAAATGCACTAGAATATTTTCTTTTTTTTTTTTTCTTTTTTCTTTTTTTTCAGTAAAGTCTCAAAGATTTTCACAACATATTTGTATCTTCTGCGTTGTTATTGTTGATGATAAAGCATGCTGTATTGGTAGACTTGCACTTTTGCATTTTTTGAAAGGTTGCCATGTGTCTGAGCCCAAGGAAGAAAAATATGGAGAAAGTGATCTAATTTAAAGTGCCAAATCTCTTTCTAAATGAATTAATATCTGCTGTTTGCTGCTGGCTTGCATTGGAAGAGCTATACTTGAAAATAAATCAATTTCAGGTCCTCAGTGAAGCATCAAGTCCAATAATTTGTAATTTTCTTTTATTTCAATCACAGAATTCAATGTAAGTTGCAGATATGGAGGAGTGTTTCATGTGGAGAAAAATGGTCGATACAGTCTCACACGAACTGAAGCAATTGAGCTCTGTAGAGCTCTCAATAGTACCTTGGCAACACTGGAGCAATTTGAAAGAGCTCATGAACTTGGATTTGAAACGTGCAGGTAAAGAATTTGAGGGGAAAAATTATATATTGTGACAAGGCCATCCATAGTGTAATAATTACTGTTGTTGCTAATTAGATGGCCATGTCATTCCTGAAGTAAGTTATATTATGTGATGAGCAAACCATCTTTCAGCACATGTACATTTGCACTGGGTTCTACAATAAGTCTTTGACTGCATATTCTTCTTACCAACTATCTTGAAGAAATCATGAACTCCTCCAGATAAAATGTAAAGATTTAGAAGATTGAGAGCATAACAAACTATTAAGGATGATGTTCAGGTCATTGCTGTGTCACTGGCTAATTGGTAAAGCAATTACATACAAAATATTTGTGATATTTAATGAACCTGATGTAGAGTCAATGGTATGCATAATGTGAGGAACTCTTTTTCCTGTCAGTCAACACAAAGAGCATCAAATAGCATTGTTGGGGAAAAATTACTGACTTCCAGTGAAGAACTGGTGACAGTGTTGGTACATTCTTAAATGATATGGATAGAGAAGTTTCAGAAAAAAAAAAAAAAAAAAAAAGAAAGAGAAAAAGATAGAAATACATTGTTAAGTAACTCAATTACCCCTTATAATTAATGTTTTATGGGGAAACAAATGTGAATAATAGGAATTCCTTAGTTTAGCAAAATATACACAAAGACATTGAAAGTTGATGATAATTTTGGCTTAAAAGACAAGTGTTGGAACAGATTCTTTGTCTCACCTAAGCTTCATCAAGACTGCATATTTGCCCCAAAGATGACATCTAGCTCAGGGTAGTCCAGCGGTCTGTAAATAGGTCAGACTAGAAAATCATGTGGCATTGTTTCACAAAAGACCTAGTACATTATTGCACAAGTCAACCTAAACATTCAAATTCGAAAGAGACTGACCTGGGGAGTTGTAAATTTGAAGGGTTTTTTTGTGTTTTTTTTTTCCCTGATCACGTAGCAGATTCATGTTGAGTAGCTTTTAACTGTATAAAAAATTAAAATAAACAGCAAATATTGAAGAATTGAATTCATTACGCACTGGCATAGAAAAGTTCAGTGTACATTTCCTCACAATTTTAGTTTGCATTCTTGAATTTATCATTGAACTTGTTCATATCTTAGCAAAGGACAAATTTGGATATGTAAGGCATGTAGATAGGGTTCTTCCCTCCCTCCCTGCCTGCCAGCCCTCCGACCCTCTTATTTGCTGATGCTGTGTCAGAAGTCCTTGTCAGTAGAGCTAGGCTCTTATCGAGCTTGAGTAGGAGAGAAAAAATAATAGTATGAAATAGCTAAAATATGTATGGAATGGTGAGTAAGCTGAATCAACAGATCATAAGAAAAGAAGGTGATTAACAGATTAAACATTGTCAACATCATAGGATCAGTTGGAAGTGGAGGTGAAGTAGTTTATAATTCTACCTACAACAGAATTTTAGAATTGCAATTAACTCTGTACATTATACATGCAACTGGAATAGAGCTCACAGATTAAAAAATTGCTAAGCTATGAAATGTATTCCTCCTGATGACTGTACATATTAAGAAGTAAAGCAAAAACCAGAATAAAGCCACAGTTGCATTACCATTCTTTCATCCCTTCAAGCTAAATACGCTGGAATTCATCAGGTGTTACAGAATTGCAAAATAGTACCAACGTGTTGTGCATTCTGGAACTCTGTTAACCACAGTCTTCACTGAAATGTGCAAGCTCTGTACACAGTTGCCATATTTTTCCTCTGTAAGAAACAGTAGGAACGTGTGGATGAATGACTGGTGTATCTGAATATTTTACTAAGGTATCTGCATAGTAGAAACTTGTGTGTGTCTTGCAGTCACTCTCTAAATTTGATAGAGTACTGTAACACTGAGACCCAAACATTTTTGTATGAAATGGCACTGGGTAGAATGTTATGCTTAATGTAAAAAGTAAGGAAAAAGAAGCCAGACTATGGTCTCAGGTGATACATCCTCTCACTGAATAAAAAGCACATTTAGCTTTCTAGCCCCTCATTTTCACTGCTTTGCTGTGGATCCAAGCATCTCAGCTAATGAAATCCTCAATTAAAATAGATTTAGCTGTAGACATTACATTACATGGGCTGGAAACTGATACAGCTACATGTGAGAGAAACATTCCCTGCATACAAAAATTATGCATAAATGCATGCACTGGTTTTTTTTAGGATGAAAATAACGGCTTACTTGTATCTTCTTCACGTTTGAGATATCTTGAGTGTTTGTTATCTGCTGTTGCACATATATGATGTGCTTTCCTCTGTACTTCACAGGTATGGTTTTATAGTGGGGCATATTGTTATCCCACGAATCAATCCATATCATCTTTGTGCAGCGAATCATACAGGCATTTACAAACTTTCAGCAAATACAACTGGCCGGTATGATGCATACTGTTACAATGCAACAGGTATGTAAGTGTGTTTATGGTGTTTTGTATACAAATTAAATAACCATGACATGTAATTCTTATTTAAGGTGCTAGAATGAGGTATTCTACATTAAATAGAACCTATTTCTCAACTGAGAAATACATTTTGTCAGCCTCCGGAAGTGCAGCTATAGTATCAGCACACTTAATGATCTATCTCTGTGATTATGTACAATTTTAGAAATTTTCTGGGAAGTTTTCTGGATTGTCAGGTGAGGGACGAAATCAAACATCGCCATCTTCAACTCTATCTAAAAGCACAACAATTAGAAGAGGATCAAGTGATTTTTAGGAGTATAAAGCAAGCTTTCCGATAGGTTATTTTTAATAAGTCTTTCAGTCTAACTAATTAGTGGTATATACAAAATTTTTTGCATTTTCCTTAAATTAATATTTTCTATTTTCCTTCTTTTTCAGAATCAAGGAGCAAAGCATGCGAGCCAGTTGAAAGAATAGATACTTCTTTCCTCAGCAATCAGAGTGAAATAGGTATTGTACTTACCAGAAAGCCTTGCCATTTTTATTTTTATTTTTTTTCATTTTTTAGGATTTGGTTATCTTTTTTCCACATAAACAATTGTTTTTAAAGATCAAGACAACCAAGAAAAAGATGTATAGATATACTGTGGGTAGTTAAAACGATTAATCACTCATCTTCCTATAAATCATATGGGGCTTAGTTTGTCTCAAGGTGTTAGGAGGCATGTTTTATTTGACATTTTTGAACAACAGAGCTGCTAATGTTTATTTAACCTAAAGGTCTTTGTTTAAGACAGCAACCCTTCAATATCTCATTTAAATTTCTGGTTAGAAGAGCAGCCAGAAGTGGGGGAAAATATTCATTCATAATAGATTACATTCTAAAATTCCTGTTGACTTCACAGAAGCCAAGATCTTATGTTCAAACACAAACTGATCTGATTAAAATTTCAAATTATTTGAATCAGAGTAGCCGCCATATGTTTGACAGTTATGTATATTAAAACAGTAAGACGTTGCACATCCTTAAGCGATGATCTAGGTAGGTTGAATGAGATGGAAAAAAACAGATGAACTGTTTATTTTTACTTCTTTGTTGTTCTAAGACATAGCTGTCTATCATAATTGTAATGTAGCTATGTACCTCCCGGTTATCAACAGCTGCCCTATTTACTCTTTCCAACAGTTATTGACAATGAGGATGGCTCACGTTTTAATGCAGATGGCACACGTCATAGTGGAGACTCCTCAACCTCAGGTGTGGATGATGAAAATTTAGGTAGTGGATCAATGCATGACACAACTCCAGGGGATACTTCTGTCAGGAGATCAACTCCTTCATATTATGGAAGTGTTACTCCTATCTCACATTTGCCAGATCATTCTTCTGGAGGAGGTGAAAAAGACCTGCATGTGAAAGAATACGGTAAGGACAATAGGATGCAACTATATCCCTTTTATTAAAACTGTGTGAAGAACTGCATTGCGAAGTAAATGATAACATGAGTGAAAGGGAAGCACTGTCTCTAATTTATATCACTGGGAAGTAAAAAGAAAAGTGTGTTTCTGGCTAAAAAAAAAAAAAAAAGCAAACGAACAAGCAAAAAAAAGCCCACACAGAAACTTATTGAATTTCTAATTTTTTTCTTTTTCTATTTTTTTTTTTTGTTTGTTTGTTTGTTTGTTTGCATGGGTGTACAAAGCAGCTGTACATATGCATAGTTTGGAAACATCAACGTCTTCCCAGTATGTTGAGAATAGATGTCCTAGGAATTTGCTAATGTCCTTGATAAAATATTGATTTCAGTTGAAGAATCAAAAACATGTTTAGCAGTGAAAGCAGATAGGTTAGTGAGCCAATGCTTATGAATATCTAGAGATAGGATGACATATATTTATCTGTTCTCTAATAGAGTGGATTGATACTAAGTAATAAAAGGAATGGTATACAGTTCAAGTGACTTCCCTTTGCACAAATACAGGGATTTTTTAGAATGTCTTCTTACTACAGCATATTCACAACACATAAAGTGATAGAAGTTCAAATTAAAATGTAATACCTTCTTCCTTTAGGTGGTAGAACCATATTCTAATTTTCTAAAGTGTTACCAAATACAAATACTATACTCATTTCTAGGGCATTCAGCAGGGTGGAAAATCAGTGAATTAAGGTACCTTGCCTGCATTTTGCTTTCTTGTGAAGGTGCTGAATACTTAGTTTTGTTTTTTATGTTGCTTGTGTACTGGAAATGATCAGAGGTCTAAAATACCAGCTCCCGTTGAGCCTAAGGGAAACAAATATACCTTAAGTACAATGATGTTTACTATGTGACCTCTGGCCACAGGCTTTCTATCAAATCGCCAACAACTTACCAGTGAAGGATGCCAGTAGTCTACATCATCATCCTCCATTAATCCTGACATTTAAAAAATATATAAACTAAAACATGGACATTATAAATTATATATATTAGAATTATAAAATAGCTTTTCATTGTATATTTCACAGTATATTAATGGAATCTTCTACTTGTTTTTCTATGTGATTCACATCATAAATGGTAAATCCTAACATTTTCTACCTGAGAAATTAGGACCAGAGCCATTCTTCCGGGTGTATGCCATGTAGTTCAATTGCTAGCCATGACAATTCCTATTAGCTCTGCTTGCTTACAGTTTAGTTCTTTAGGCTAAAGCTCAGAATATTTCTCAATAAAGAGGGGAGTACAAATAACATCACTTGCTGCTCTAGATTTCCTGTGCAGATGCCACACATGTACAGTCAGGGCTTTAATCGCACAAGAAAATCACTGATAGATAGTTCATTATCACTGTAATACATATACCTTTTGAAATGATTTATTTCGGTATTGTCTTTGCTACGTTACTAAAATAAAGAATATTTAAGTTTGAATTGTGTGAAAAACCTATTCTGTATCTTCTCTTCAGAAGGAACAAAGCTTTCAATATAGAATAATTGAAGTAGTTGTGAGTAATGAGTTACACCTCAGCTAATGAAATAGTAATGATTCATCCATCTCATGCAGGTTATGAAAGTTCCCCTACATCAACTGTTATCTTGGCAACAGCTGCTGATTTCCCCATAGAAGATGATGTACAGCATCCTGCCAGTACTAGTAAGATTTGTGCATTATAATAACTATATCAATTAATTATTGCATTAAAACTGCTTTCTTTTTTCCAGCAGTGCATTCTGGTAAGTGGTGTAATACACATTTTGTCCAACTTCAGAAATACCCCAAAAGACACTACTTTCTGGACTGATTACATCAGAAATAGACAGTGAAATGATTTTTTCACTTATTTAAAGAAATAAGGAGAACCAAAACACTTTTTCTTTCCTTCTGAGAGAGAAAAAAAAAAAAAAAGGAAAAGAGGAAAAGAAAGAGAAAAAAAAGAAGAAAAAAAAGTCTACTTCCCTAACTTACCAGAACTATTTACTCAAACAATAACTGTGACTGATTTTTTTCATCCATTTCTATTAGACACTCTTGTGCTCTGATGAATTTTTCCTTATGTTTCATGTGGAGCATACTCTGAAAAATCTCATTCCTTACAAAAGGCTTTTGTCCATTCTTTGGCTGATTGGATAGGAAAGCATCTACATTGATATTTTATATATGGAAGGAAGCTGTAAATCCATATTTGTCACTCAAGTAAATATGTTCCTAACACTTGCTGTGGAGAGAAGGTAGGAGTGACTACAGCAAGTCAGATGACCATTCAAGGAGAAGTTGAATAAATGTGGGCATCAATAGTAGTTATGCTTCTACTGAATGTTTGCTACAAAATGCACTGTACTTTAGTTTACCCACAGAAATTTGTGAAGTCAAGAACCAAAAATGATTCCATCATGCTGGAATAAGAACAACGACAACAACAAAACAAACAACTAGCCCCTCTAGTTCAAGAAAGTGAATTCAGATATTTCCAGAAACAATAACACTTAGGTAGGAATCAGATGATGGCTAATCAATGTATTAGTCATTTTACATCTCTCATCTCCCGTGACACAAACTCTACCAGCAGAATTCCTTTCTTAAATAACATACAGGGGACTCATCTCTTGAGGGATGCTATAGACAGAAGCTTACTCTATCTTGTTCAACAGTAAGCAATGTAAGTGATCTTAAAGGATGGTGTCAGAAAAATCTTTCCTCCATTAAATCATGTGTTAATTCCTCAGTATAATTTGAAGCTTGATTTGTAAAAGCTCTGCAGCTCTCTACTTCAATTATTTTCTTGTTGATAATTTTGATAATTTTGATCGTAGTTCCAGTCAAGCCCCAGATAACTAATTTTTCGTTACTCAATTGCTCAGAGACCAGATTTTATAATGTTCAGATTTTCTGATCTTAAAAAAGGCAAGCCATCCTCTCTTCTTGCCCTGAAATGCCTGGAACTCAATTTGCACCTATTTTTAGTTTACTGAGTTTGAATTTTGTATCTAAAAAATTGCCTTTTAATTCTATGGGAATCTTTCTTATTAAATGAGTTTTTATGGCTTCGAGAAGAAGAGAAATCTTAAGTTTTTAAATTAACAGAATACAACCTGATCATGCTAGTTAAGTATTTTCATTTCAGATGGATGTATCTTCAGACCTCTTGGTTTACATAAAAGTCATCCAGGCACTCTGCCTGCACCACTTCTTCCACTTCTTCATTCAAAGTTGTTTTCACAATAGTCTTTTTTGAATCTTTTTAAATAGAAAACCTCACTTATCTGTAGATGGGTCCAGATGCAGCCCACAGAGTCAAATGAGAGAGACAGATTTCCATCGAATGTGTCTGGTAGTGCAGGAATTCCATATCTTCTTGTAAATGCTCACTGAGCATTTTATGTGGGGAAACTAAAGTTGTAATGACTGAATTTTAGCAGGACTGGCATTTCCAGAAGCCAGTGCTAATTTTTTCTTCACTAATATTGCATTCAGATTTATCTTACGCTCTTCTGTGTTCAAGCTACTTCTGTCAAACTATGAATTTGTGGCAATGAACAGATATGGAAAACAAAAAAATAGATATGTAGCATTTACACTGCTATGAGCATATCATCGTTTGTGAATTTTTGTGTAGTATTTCTTAATTCTTCATGGATTAAGAGAAGCTTTTTCCTGAATGTATTTACATGCTTTTAAAGCATTTTTGCTCAACATCACAACAAAATTCTACCACACTACAGTGATCTGTTTCTGCACTTAGAGAGTGATGGTATCAGGTAAGCTCAATACTAATACTCCAGAAAATCCATCAGATTTGACTTCAGTGTTCATTATGTCTTAATCTAGTCTTCTTCACGACAGCTATACAGAAAACATGAAGGGAGTTATTCAACTTCAGACTGTTGGAAACGCTGTGAGCTTGTAGACCGTTTGTAATCTGTTTCTGTGTATGTATGTGCATACAACAATAAACCTTCTCATTAATTAAATTCTAGGGCATTTGTGATAACTTTGCACAGGTTTCTTACTGAGAAGTTATATCTTGCTTGAAGCATTTGTGGAATTTTCCATGTGATCATGTGTAATTCTGTATACATAAAATTGAAACATGACTACAGATGACATGAAAGAATGTATTAGCTCTCTTCTAACCAAAATATCCACACTGATTCAGAGTACATCTGTTGAAAATTGTTAACAATTGTAATTTTAAGTGCAGAGGATTTTTATGCATTACTGATCTACTTGTTTTTATTTTGGAGACTGAGCACTATAATCCTTTATTTCTGACATCAGAGTCAGAGTAGTATTAAATACAAGTCAAAAGTAAGCACAAAAAGAGAAAACAATTATTCAGTCAGGTGCAGCTTGCTAGAAAGGCACAATTTGTGTAGTTTTGGTGCCATAATTGCTACTCTTTGTAAAATTGCAGTTATATGTCCTTATGCTTTGTAATTAACAGTTAAGAAAACATAAATAATGATAAGCTGGATTTCTTGAGGAATTTCATTCTTGGTGTATGCATTTTTGTTAGCTTTGCATGCTTTTTGTCAAAAAGGAGTGTATTTCACACACAGTGCATATTTCAGAGCTGGTAATATAGTCTTAAACTTCAGCAGAATGATTCAAACTTCACTTACACTAAAATGATTGGATATTTTTGCTACTGGAGGAATGTAATGATACCCCAGGTTCATACATTCCCTTTGTGCTCACATCCCTCTCAGTGGCATGAGCATGCAGCCCACATGTGTGCACCACATGGGTGCTGGTGCTGGTGGATTTGGCTTAGGCTGGAGAAAGTAAGCCTCTCAAGAAATAACAAGTTTTTGGTTCAATGAACCATGTCCTAACAGCTCCAGAGCCTCATCGTGACAACCTGGAGAAAACCACCACCCAGTCATGGTGGAATCCATTTTCAGACCAATGGTGGTGGTCATACCCCAGAGAGAAGACCCAAGAACCCACGCAGCCAACAAGGGGTAAAGAATGTCGTGCTAAGATGGTACTTTTTTAAAAAGGCTAAATGTCCAGTGAGCCATGGCAGCAAGCTTCAGAAGCATTAATTGTAGGGTGTTTATAGTGGGCAGTATGTGTTGCTGCTTTTCTCTGTAATGTTTCTGAAGAGGAAAAATAAAAAAATCATAGAATCATTAAGGCTGGAAATGACCCTCAAAGATCATCTAGTCCAGCCTTCAACCCATTATCACCATGCCCAGTGAACCATGTCCCAAAGTGCAACATCTACATGTCTCTTGAACACCTCCAAGGAATGTGACTCCATCACTTCCCTAGACAGCCTGTTCCATTGCATTACTACTCTCTTGGAAGAGACTTTTTTCTTTATTCCTAACATCTGAACCGAATCTCCTCTTGTTCAAATTGAGGCCATTACCTTTGTTCTATGAAAGTACAACGTTCTTCCTCTGTGGTAGTATGGTAACAAAAGAGCATTTGTCCATATTATTAGTGAACTACATATCTGAGAGGGTTGAATATTTGAGATATTCTGTAAAGGATGTATTAGGGTCTCTAATTATCTATCTCAAAGTCACTTTAGAATGAGATTATTTTAATGAGAATTGTACAAGAAATGAAGAGTGTGTTTTCATGGCAATACACTACACTCACTCTGATGGAATAAGACAGGTGCCCTTTTGTGCTGTGACCTATAATTGGACACAGAAACGTAGCCAACAACAACAGTGGGGTAGCTTCAGTAGGGCCGTGGTAAGATAATGAATGTCTTGTGG